CTCCATCAGCAAGAGCCACATCGGCTAAAGGCGTCTGAGGCTTTCGTCCCCTTAGGAAGGGACACAGCAACTTTGTGACGGTAACCTTGCGACGGCACCAACGAAACAGGGACGGGAACCGGTGCTCGACCTTTGGCCCCAACCGCAGGCCTCATCGGACCGCCCCCATCGCCATCTCTCGGGCCGACCGTCGCACAGCAACCCCAGAGTCCTCCGCCGAAGCGACGACGCTCGCCTTCACACAGCTCCCGGTATCAGTAATGCAGATACCTCAGGCTTGGAATCTTGGCGCCAGTCACCACGCTAAAGCGGCCAAGTGAAACCCCCCACACCGGTGTGCAGTTGTCAGGGCAGGCACATCAATGCACTCCTGGCGAGCACTGTCACAGTAACCCGCCTCCACGCCCGACCAGGCGAGTCCCATGTGACGTGGTGACAGGCGAAGGGCCGAAATCAGTGTGACCGGCGCAGGAGGGGCAACATAACCGAGACTGCGAACGACAGCCCTTTTGGGATATCGACGCGTAAGGGGCGGTCGGCGCGCGGCGGCATGGCCTTCGCGGGCAGGGGCGAAGAGCGCGGAGACGTGTGGGCCATAAGCCCGCAGACAATCGCCCACAAGCCGCCGCCGCGCCCCGGGGGCCCGCCGCGCTTCGCGGACGCCGGCGACGGGCATGCCGTAGGGCTTGGCGGCAGCAAGCCGAGGGGCAGGTGGGGCGGGGGCTCGAAGAATGGCCGGGAGGTGTTCTATGGCAAGGGGCGGTTCCTGTCCTGGGACGCCGGGGCGCCGCGCCGGCTGCAGCGCCAGATCGACGCCCTCAATGCGGCCGTGGAGTCGGAGAACGCGGAGCTGCTGCGGCGGCTGCGCGAGTGTGAGGCGCGGGTCGCGGCGATGGAGGAGGAGTGGGAGGCCGAGAAGGCGCATCGCAGGGAGGAGCGGCGCAGGGAGGTGTTCCTCAAGCGCGCCAAGAACTGGGGCACCATGACGGCCACCAACGCGGACGGCTTCGGGCCGACGTGTGAGGACGGCAGGGGCGCCGCGGTCGTCATAGACAGGAGCGCGCCGCGAGACCTGGTGGAGCCCCTGGAGCTGAGGGAGGAGAGAGCGGCCCTGAGGAGGCTGAGGGGGGGCAGGAGAGAGGCCGTGCCGTCCATATTTAACGTTCTTCCTGAGGCGGAGCACGCCAGGCGGGAGGCCGTGCTGGCCCACGCCAAGGCGGACGCCGCGGCAGGCATGCTGAATATGTTGCTGGGGATGGACCTGGCGAGCGCGGGGGAGGAGGAGGGGCGGATGGCGGCGGAGATTTTGAGGAAGGTTCGGAAGTACGCGGAGGGGGGGGGGCCGGGCTGCCAGGTGTGCGTCATCAGCTAGGGGGACGGGGGACAGCGCGTGCGTTCAGCGAGGGTGTAGGGGGAGTCGAGTGGGGGGAAGTGGGAGCAGGATTGGCGAAGCGGGGATTGGGACCGCGTGCGCGGGGCGATGGCCCTAGCAGACGTCGATCAAGCGGCCCAGCGGTCGGGGGGTGGAATCTGGCCGAAGAGCCGGGAGCGCAAGCGGGCGGTTGTGGGCAGTGGGTGCGAGAGGTGGGCGCTGGTCACGAGGGTCGAGTACATTAGCGCTGCACAATAAGGACGCCACCTGCCAGCCCAGTGCACTGCGATCGCCTGGGCTGCCACAAGTTCAAATGGCCCCAATGCTCGGGTACACTGACATTTGGGGCAGTTATGGGCAATACTAATGGTGGTGATGAAAGAGAAGGAGCGCACCTGACATTCTAGTTGCCATGGATGAGGGTATTGGGATTCGCCGATTCAAAGCAGTTTGCTTGCATTTAGCAGGGACAGCTATGCAGGTGTGTTTGAGCGACAAAATGGGGGTATTATTTTCTCAGTTTGCGTGCATGTAGCAGGGACAGCCATGCAGGTGGGTTTGAGTGACAAAATGGGGGCATTATTTTCTCAATGTCTTGAGAATGCCATAAAGGGAAAAGGACACCACAGGTGCAGTAAAGGGTTGAATGGCAGTTGGTGTACGTCTGCTATGATGGTTGAACGAAAGATGGTCCTGGCACTGGGATGTGCGGCAGTTGCTCTTCAACAAGAATCAGGGGCCATCACGTCCATTTTGCGGCCTTGCACTGCAGTGCACGGCCCTCGTCTGCACAGTCATGGCAGCGCGACTGTCGACAGATAGCTGACAAGGGTCTTTCTATGGGACCACAGAGGTAGGGGAGTCCTGCATCCTCATCACCACTTGCGAGTTGCAGGGCCGATTGTGAGGTAGAACTCCAGCAGTGGCTACACTGACTCATTCATGGTTCTTCAACCACGCAGTCGTTGGTCCCAGTGGCCCTGAAGCATGGGCACGCCAGTTGCTGCGACTTCGGGTTTGGGTTGTGCTGATGTATTGCTGGTGTTGCTCAGCACGGCCGCAACTGCGGAGGTTTGCTGTACTTTCATACTGTAACACATGACGAACGTGTTCCGTGTGATTGGCTGGCTGTTCCTGAGGCCCTCTCATGAACGTCGTGTTGAGTTCGCTTTCGGAGCATTGTGTCACAGATCTCGACGAAGCAATGCTAGGCAGGCGCTCTGGGCGACTGGTGGTGATGTCCATAGCAGGGTAGCTGTTGACGGGCCTGGGATTTTCGCAGGGTGACATCAGAGGCTGTGGGCAACGTATTGCAGATACACCAGTAAGGACAATAGCGGTACTGCAATTGGATGTGGATCACGCATCCGAAAATATCTTCAACGGGCAACCAAAGCCCTCGATGTCAAGAACAAATTTCCACAAAACACAAGCCAGTAAGTTCTTCGCCGCTGCCCTGCAAGTGTCAAGGCATGCACTGTCCCTGCCTCCAAGAACACGCGACCACAGGGGTTCGCCTACCATCGCCAAATCAATACTTAACATGCAAAGTGGTGTGCGGCAAAAGCTGACACAGGATGATTCCCACCAACGAGTCTCTACGTACGTGGTTGATAGAACGCTGTAAGCGCTAAAACTGCCTTCGGAAAAGGAGACAGAACACGAAACCGACCTCAGGACGCCTGTGACGATCCCCGCAGCATGCCCGTCCTGTTCGTCGCCTCCTGAAGAACAGCCACGTGGGACAAGGACGCGCCGGACTGGTCGACGCAGAACTTCCGAAGGCCGTCGAACAGGCGGGCGTTCTGCTCCTGTGCCACAAATGGCGCCAGATCGTGAAGTCGACATTGCACGCCTTGCAATCCTGTGATGCACTGCGCAGTGCCCAGGTGCCGGGCAAATTGCTGACGTTGTACTGCACTGGCATAAATGCACAAGGGCATGGAGGGGGGGCCGGTGCTGTTCAGTTGTTAAATCACAGTGTACTCTTTTGACAACTTTTGTATTCTTTGGATGATTCGCTTTCGACACGTTTTCGTCAATTTGCCATGTACTTTTCGTCGCCAATTTCATGGGCAAGCCTGCTATGTTGACTCAGGCTAAAGGCCCTGCGGAAGAAATGACTTCTTGTTTATTGTGAATTGAAAATAAACAATGCTTATATATATATATATATATATATATATATATAGTGTTACATATATACACACCCACACAAAAGTAAGCAAATATATAGACAAATAAATAAGTATATAAATAATTAAACAAACAAATAAATGAACTAACGAATAAGCAAATAAATAAATAAATAAATAATACTTTCTCTCTGCAAGATTAATTGTCATTTATTTGAATGAGAAATTTGGTCATGAAAATAGCATATGAATTAAAAACGAAGGCCAGAATCGGAACAAAACCCTCAGGTTCCAACTTTCAAGGAAAAAATCAACCCTCACTCCTGTGAGCGGCCTCCGAGAATTACCTTGGGTCGGTCCAAAAATATGCACGTTCAAATTCCGTGTTCCCAGAGACCCCTCAATTCTGGGCCGCTCTCTTGCTTGCAAGCAGCAACGACAGTCGCTGCCACTGCCGTGGCTAAGATGAGCATCCAACACGTGGCGTAGCTCTATGCCAAGCCCACTCAACGGTGTTTGGATCCTTCTTGAGGGTTGGCATTGTCATGGCAACGAAGATGCCAGAAATTCGCGATGTTCTCGACCTCCGATGCGGATTCCTTTACTGAACGAAAAAGGCCAAGGTCCAAGACCTTGAAGCTTGGGTTGGGCGCGGGCTATCTCTCTAAGGGTTTGCTTTGTAGCCTTGGTTGGACACTCCCCTTGGATTGATGCCTGCATTGAGGCTTTCGTGTGCCACTCGACCTAGAATCTGCAAAAGGACCCTGGCAGCCAATTCTTGCGCCCGATACACAATCCATCACAGCCTAGTAAGTCCCGATTGCTTTACAAGACACGATTTTACCTTTCTAGCTGTTCTCCTAGCTACCAATCCTTGCAAGCGCCGAAACAAGATCAATTGGCGATTATCGCCAGAATGGCCAATTCACTACTTATCCGCGATTGATTGGGTGATGGCCATCACCTTGTCATGCGCCTTGTTGCGAGGATTGGGGGGGACCATCCGCGGCTACCCCAGTGGCGGAGATGGAGACCACAAAGTCATTCAGAATTCTGGGCGGATCATAGCTACGAGCTTGAAATTCCAGCTGTAAGCCACGGCGAGTTGACGATCAGCGGTTTCGAAACGTGCTTTCTATCGCCATACCTCTTCGAAGCACCGTGGTGACCTTCCCTCTGGACAATGTGGATAGTTTTGCATGCGCGGCTTTTTTTCACTGCCGCAAATGTGCGCTCCTCAAAACAGCGAGAGAAGGGTGTTTTCATTGCCACGTCGAAAACCGGCCGTTTTCTGGCCAGAGGACCGTTGCTACAAAATACTACCGAATCCTCGATATTTAATGGACTGACCTGAATTCTTGATAGTATACTCCAACCTCACAAGCACAAGTCTGGGTAAAATTTCATTTAAAATTGATGTGGGTAGGAAGGAGAAGTAACGCCCCGAAATCATAGTCGACAATTAATCTTGGACGGAGGAAGTAGGAACCTATTTATTCATTTGACTGATCAATTAATGAATGTGTGTGCTGTTTAAGTGCTGGGTCGGCAGAGTTTCGCATGCAAGAATTGTAAGGGAGGTGGCTGCCCAAGATGCCTACCTTCAATGGGGACTTGCCACCGAACAGCGACTCATGAATGCCTCGAAACTCGCCTAGCCGCTCAATTACCTGTGGGTAGGCACAACAGCACCGACTTTGAACACCACGTCTGTGAGGGAGTTGGGAGAAAGTAGCCTTTAGGCAGAGTGCAAGGCCAAAGCCTCGAATATTGATTCTGATGTCGCACAGGCACAAGGCCATTGTACAGAAAACAGAAGAAATGTGCACTGGCAGGCCCATTTGCTGAACCAGGATGGAGGTGGCACCTTATTCCTAAATGTCTTGAAAGTCGTGAATGCAAAATGAAACTTCATACACAGCCACAGGATCCAGGTGCGCAGTGGTGGAAACTCCTCAGCTGGACTATGGGCCAGCAGCCTAAAATTTGAGTTCGGAGGTTGTCTGTGATTATGGAAATCGCATTCTGGACTATAAATGTGCGAATCTGTGCCTGACATCGCCCTGCTGTCGCAATGGCAGCACCCTGTAAGTTTTCGAAATGGTAACCAAAGATTTGCGCAGCCGGAAATTCATGAAGTTCCCAGAGCACGTGGCCATCTCCAGATCCACTTCTTAGCATACACACCTTGACCAAGTCGTCATAGGTGTTGATTATCTTAGCTGCCAACGGGCCGATGCCATGCAGCTGTGGTGGTTCCACCCCAACATGCTGGCTGTATTCCTGGAAGGCAGAGAAGGGAGCCAGTGTCAATATTTCAATGATTTGGCAGTGTTGGCACAGCAACAATAATGCACAAATTCAATGGCCACAGGAATAACGAGAAAGTAATTGCAGCTTTTTTGCCTGTGAACAGCAAGCAAAGCAAGGTCACAAACCCATGATGGGGTATCCACACATATGCAGTGCTTGTGTACAATCTGTCCAAACGATCGATTCGGTGCTCAATGGCACATCGCATCATCACACCAGACGACTCGGCATTGACAAAACCGGGGTTTGTAAATTCAAAAGGCAAAGATGGATAATTGCTTGCTGGAATATGCACTTTCAGAAAATTCATGCAATACTGTACTTTTGCAGGCGACTGTAGTACTGAGTACTGACATGCTGTACCAAGGCGCAATTGCATTTAAAACAGCAACACTGAGGGGAGAACCGTTGCAGCAATCTACTGCTTGTTCTGAAACAAGACGTAACGTGGTGTGGGTGGAACAGTACAGTGAAGCGCAGAAGGGTGTTTAGAGGGGACTACAATGGTCTAAATGTCTTCATTTCTACTCTGGAGGCTTTTGAAAGACGAACTTTGCAGACGGCACAGGAAAAACGCATGCAATTATGCATTCAAATGTTGTATTGTGGTGGTATTATTATCCTAAAGTGATTTTGCATATGATTTTACATCGTTGCTAATATTTTACAATGATTTTACATCGTTGCCATTACTGCCACTGTCACAGGTTCATTCCATTACAGTGTAGCGTCCCAGCTCCTGCTCTCAAGAGGAGGAAGCCCATTGTTTCCTTTCCCCCCCGGGAATGCCACCTGTGCGAAATGTTGATTGAAGGCTTGCGCATCCTGTGCAAAGGCACTGAGGGTTTCACATGCCAGAGAGAGAGCCTCCTGAAGTTCTTCAACAGTTTGGGGTGCTACCTGCAAGGAAACAGGTCTTTAAGCCTGCAAGGTGCTTGCCAATCATGTGCAATGCATATTCTAGGGTTCTTGCACAACAGGGCACTGCTCGCATCAAATTTTTGAACTTGTGTGTCAATACCAACAGTGATCGCCTGTGAGGGCAGTGGCTCCTCCCCAGCTTATAATCAATGAGCTGCATCCTGCTGTTGCAATCGACAGCCACGTCGTCGGCTGGTGTTTTCAAACCATCAGTGCCCAACATATTCACTGCAAAATGAGTGAACAACCCATACCCACAGTGCACCATCTGCGCTGTGTCCCAATGGGTCCAAATGTCCATTTCAGTTCGCCAAGGCAGTCTGCCATCTGTGTGGCTGGTCAACTGTCCAACGTCCTGACAGCTACTTCTGGAAACTTGACAAACACCAAGTTGTTTGGCTTCTGTGATGTGCATTATGCCTAAATATTCTATTTTCACAAATAGCACTGCACAGCCTGAATGAGAAACAGCTGAATGAAAAAAAAGTAATGAATGAACAAATATGGAGTGAATTTTGAAAGCAAAAGAGCTGGTGACTAGTTCCATGCACCAACTCAAGGCTTGTGAAGGTTGTCCCTTGCTCATATGACCATCGAGTAGTAGTGTTTGCAGATTTAAAGGCAACAATTTTCATGCCTTGCCAATATGCATTGCACGATACCCCAAACAGCTGGGGATGTCCTGTTTCATTTCATTCCAAATAATACATCACGAGAATGTATGCGTCAACAATGTTCTACATAAACATGAACGACTGGCAACATAGCACACGGCCATTTTTGTGGCAAGAATTAGTCTGGCATCGTCCAGAACACAGAAAAATGTCCCGTAGGAGGGGATGGCACACACTGTGAGAAAAATGCCTTTCCTTTCAAAGAAGATATTTGGATGCACCTTGGGCAGATCGTCATATGCTTGCCTCTCCTTTTGCCATTCTTCCACCTTGCTAGAAATTTGCCTGATTAGTAGCCTGATCTCATCAAGCCGTGGATTCCTGCCAGGCCAGAATTGCACCCCACCATTGCATCATTGCCATTGGGAAACAAGACATATTCTGCAAAGTTTCTCTTGCCTGACATCGCCCGTATGCTGCCAGGATTCCATTGCACCTTGAAAGAGCACTGTCATTGTGACAACACAGTAAACAAAGTATCTGCTCAAGCAGAGAATATGTGGGATGTCTAATATGCACACAAACAGTTCATTTGGAAGCACCCAGATGGCACAAATGGTCACCATGTCAGGGATCCTGCACCTGGGCTCTCAAAAACAGCTATGCAATATTCAGAAATAGAAATTAATGCTTGCAATTTCGTTCAACCTCACCCCTCAACGCCCTGGATCATTTCTGCAGGTAGGAGGTCGACCTCATGCCTGAACAATTCACTGTAGGACTGGCAAATGGTGCCCATCAGTTCATGATTTGAAGCAAAATCATCCTCCCCATCGTCCATGTCAGATCTGGAGCACTGGGAATCATGGTCGCCACTGGCAGTAGCATCGCTTGGGCTGGCACAGACCGCTGTGGGCTCGGGTGCCCACAGGGCCACATCGACAAGTCCCTCTAGAAAAGCGATGCGTTCGCTGAGATCCCCACTCCCCTGGACCACACAATGTCCGGTTCTCTATCAGAAATAGTTAAGCGATGTGCTCATCAATATTAATAGGGATTGCCAGCTGTGCTGGAATCCATCTCTCAATGTCAATTGCATTGGGCTTTCTTCTTTTCAATTTTGTCAACAGAGACTGCTCTCCACATTTTACATCAGGTGCTGTGGAAGTTGCCTTTCCTTTCCTTGTGCTTGCCTCAAGTGCAAGGAAGCACTTCACGAACTTTCTATCATTCCTATTTTGACACAGGCATTGCACAGAACTGTTGAAGTGTTGTAGGCCCAGCATGTGCTGCAGGCTGATGTTGAGCAGATTTCTAAGACGCACAACGACGAAATGGACTTGGATAGTCAGAGCAAACACACCATTGCGAATTACTATGGTATCCTATCTGCCAGCCCCTTCTCCCCCCTCCCCCCCCAAATACTGGACCGCCCCAGGAGTGCCAAGCATCTCTTCTTGGAGACTGAAGTCTCATTTTGATAAGAACACTATAGAGGGCTCTGTGTCACCTTGCACTTGTTTGTTAGGTACCACAAGGCCCACATTTCTTCTTTTGTTGCAAGACCAGGCACCTGGACACATTTATGTGTGGCAATATTCAAAAACGAGAAGGAAAGCCACATGTTCCCATTCCCTGCAGGCAGATGTGCGCTATCCCCACTGCCTCGGATACCATACACTAAATGGGGCAATGCTGTTATTCTGATGCCAAAAGATAAAAGGACTCCCTTGCTCCTTTGTTCTGCGCTTGTCACAGACAAAATTCGAAATAGCCAAAACAGCCCTGGACATTTCCAAGGCGATGAGCAATTGCTCTAGAGCTTGATCCACCAGGTATTGGAAATGGCAAAATTTTGTGTGCTTGTGGCGCCTCAACAAAACGTCAGGGCAGATGCACTAACCTGCACTTGGGCAGCTGTCGCCGGCAGTCCTAAGATTGTCAGCTTCTGAGCGATCTCTGCGAAAAGGTGATGGAACGATATGATAGTCAGTCGGGGGGCGTTCATGCAGTCCTGTATGCATTCGAGAAAAGTCCGGTGTCCCAAGGACTTATACGAAGGGTCATACCTTCAGCCTCCAGACGGTCCTTAGACTGGCCCTTTTTCTTCGTTGGATTGCTTTGTTGGAGGAGGGCATCGATAGAGTGCCCACCCAGCAGCCTAACAAGAAGGAAATGGTGAGTAAAACACACAAGGACACAGAAGGAAACTCTGTGTTGTGTACTGAATAGATTGAGCGAGAGTAGCTATTGCAAGCAAATTGAACTCGACACACTGGTAATGGCGAGTGTCATTGATGAGCTCTGATGATATGGCAGCGCCATGTTTTCCAGTGGGCTATAAGGGCCTCACCCTGCACGGCCAAAATGAGACCCGAACTGCACATCACATGGCAGAATGGCAGCATTTCGACATCAGGCACCCCTCCACATGCAAACGTTGTTGTGCTAACCTCCCACTGATGCTCTTTTCGATTCTCTGAAACGTGCAGAGCGCACAGTGCGCAATTGATGAGAAAGCAGCAACAGAAGTCTCAAGAGTGAGAATGGGAACAACATGAAATAGACAGCATCGCAAAGTGCAAAACTTGCGCTCTCGGTGGGGCCTGCATTGTGAGGTGACAGCAAGAGCATGCAGCCAGGACACCGAGGCCGAAATAGAATACAGAGTGATCAGCGCAAAAGAGCGATACTCGATGAAGAATGGTTGAGCTACGTTGTTCGTCGCGCATCATTACTTGGGAAACTCGTGCCGCATTTGCTGCTGGCATTTTTTGCTTGTCCTGGGGCTCTGTGCGAGGTAACAACACTTGGAGCTCCGACCATTCAAGGTTGTCGATCGGTGCCAGCACTCCTAGAACGACTGCAGGGCGGAACTTCGTGCTCCAAAACACAAATGAAGCGGCAGTTGCAGTGCCCCATGACGGTGACAACAAAAGCACGCCCCAGGGGGGAACGAGGTGGCGAGCGGCAACCCAAAGCCTTTCAATCTTTTCTTTGGTGTTTTCGGAGGCGACACTGCGGACATTCCCCAGATGCGAGGACTGTGTCTTGTACCATGTCGCCGAATACGGCCAGCGGATCAGCACCGGAGTGAACACCGCGTGAATGGGATGCATTGACCAGCCGGCGACACCATTGACAGCACCATAAGAACCGCAGGAATCTCTTCCAGCAGGGGTTTGCCCGTTGAACGGCCTGCTTTCTTTGTTCGTCGAAACGAGCCCTCCGTCGATCGCCAGCAGCGGCATTGCGCGCCCACCTGTCCAGCAGCCATTGCAGGAGGTCCCGCCTCTTGGGCCAGCTGTGCAGAGCGTCGGGGGCGACCTCCCCGTCGTAGCACATCGATCGAAGTCTGCGGGCCAGTGGGTCCATTTTTGGCGGACGAGGCGTGTGGGGGAGGAGGGGGGTTTGGAGCGCCGCCTGGCTCGGCCCCCAAGCGCCAGGGGGATTCTGGCAGGTTTCTGTCGTATGGGCCCAAGCGCGGGCAAACCCCAGGGATGTCACAAAATGCGCAGAAAAATGCGGAATTGGGAATTTGTGGTGGGCAATTGGGGGCATGGAGGGTGGGAAGGATTGGTTTGAACTAAAGAATGCGTGGTCAGAGGGTCATGGGCAAAAAAAATGCACTAGAATGCATTCTGGCTGGGAGCAACGAAAGCTGTATCGGAAAATGTGGACAGAAGGTGCGATGGACAAAGCTAACAAATGGAGACGCATGTTTGCCTCAACTTCAAATCTTCCTTTACCATACCGTACCGCGCCAGTTCGATGCGTACCAAGGCAACCCCGTAGCAGATTGGTAAGGATCGATACAGATGGTACCAGCCGCGTGTATCGGGCGCATACCGTTGACCCATTTATTATCGAGGATTTTCAGCGCTTTTGACCACGACAGCTGCCCTGGAAAGTGGGCTGCTCCGGTCTGGACAGCCATATGTTACCCCTCCCTTACAGTACCGTAACGATTTGTTTATAGTACAGTAACACGGAACAATAACGCTATACAGGAATGCGATACTTTAAGTTGAATCTGCGACGCTGCACAATACCACGGCAAACACTGTGCCAAGTTGCAGTATATTCCACCGCCCCATTGATCTGTGAGACTTCGACTTGTTTGAACGTGTCCGGGCGTATTTATCATTGTCCTACTATTCATGATGCATGGCAGGCTTCAGTTCCGCCAGCGGTTGATCGCGGACTGCAAACAGATATTGCGCAGAAGAGTGATATTGGTTAGAATCATCACGGTAACGCCAGAAAATGCCACGCAACTTTTGTAACGTTCTAAGCGAGCGTGGTTTATTGACAATTTTTAAGTGTGGTGTAGCCGCCCAGCGGAATGCGGGTTGTCGTGGACCCTGCCTTATTGGAGCGAACCTCGGTTTACGTTCTTGACAGCTCCAAGTTTTTCCAACGATTGTTGCCGTTAATTTTCCTCCGCATTGCGAGGTCCACGGTGACGTCTCCATAGTGAATAGTAAACGATTCATTGTTGAGATGTGACGGTGAATAAAGCTAGCGCAACTTCAATAATCTTGTTCAGAGTTGACGGTGACACTATAGGGGCAACAAATTTTTCATCCAGAAACGGCCTGCAAAACACAATTAAACGTTCAATTCAGGCCTGCTTTCTTGAAAATGTTGATTTACAACACATGTGTCATTCTCAACACGACGTTGAATTCCCGCGAATTAGCCCCATAAGTCAGAGCCGACTTTCTCCTTATTCGTGTTCACAAAATGGCTTAGAATTTGGTGGCGAGAACCAGAATTCTGAATTTATCCTAAGAAAAGCGTTGCATTTTCTCCACCATATTCCAGGTGAACATCATTTATGAACTAGGGCACTACAAGGAAAACTGGCAATCCTAATTTACCTCTTCAGCAACAGAGGGGTGCAGCGTCATCCCAAAATGCGCAAGCGGGAGATTCATTATCGAGAATGTGAGACACACGACATCAACTGGTGAACGGGAGAGACTTGTCACAGCAAGGGAGTGGAGAGGTCCAAGACTTCTGCAGTTGCCCGGAATCCATCAGAGCAACCAGCACTCCCAACAAGCCACACGGAAAGCGCGAGTGCAGGAGTGCAGCGTTTCACGTTTGTAGGACATCGCCAGAATTACCTTGAACTGTGCCGGCCATCTCCGTGAGTTGGTAAACGTTTGGAGAGGAGCGCCTTGCCTGCAGGCTGACGGTGCACCCGGAAGCCTTGGGCCTATGGGTGGGGAGATCGACAGTGGTGAACGCAAGGGAGATTGGGCCGGCGGCCAGATGGCAAAAATTCTAAAGTGCCAGTCGTGGCGGCGCAAAGCAGGGCAGGCGGCCACCTTGGACTTCGTTTGGCCCACGCAGGTGTTTGGTGGCCTGGATTAGCTGGGGAGGCGGGTAGAGGCGCGAGCGATTCCGTGGCGGACTCAGGCGGGACGCGATGCCCTCGATGCCAATCCGCAGAGAATGGTGCAAGGTGCAAGGCTTGCACTGCGAAGCTTGAAAAGGTCGCTTGTTGAGAGGCAGTGCCGCGGCCATCGATCCCCACGCCGTTGTTCTTGCTGCTTGCCGGCGGTGGGCGCCATGGACGGGTGGGATCTCCTGATCTCTGGGCGCCAGCCCTTGCCGCCTTGCCTTTGGGCTTGGCGCGGCAGAAGGTCCTTACACGAGCCCACGACTTCGGGCGCAGGTTGGTCGCGCTCGTAGTTGTGGACTTGGCAGGGGCGGTGGCAAATACGATGCGACATGCATCGGGCATACGGGCGACCAACCCCCTCTCGGACTGCAGATAGTTCCGCCCAAGCTCCAAAGTGCCACTGCACACAACACTGACTCGGGGTGATGCCTTCTGGAAACCTCCGTTGGACAGCGAGGGAGGATCACCTCATCGGCACCCAATGTACTGCTGCTTGCGCTCTGATGACTAAACGCCCATCAAAACCACACTCATCGGCAGGCCCCTGCCTCATCCCTTCCGGTATTCGTAGCGTGTATGCGAGCGTCAGCTTCACCCTGAAGCGTGCCCTGTACCCTAGCCCGCCGCGCGGAGCCGGGACTGTCCGGCGTGTCGCCAGCGCACCCCTCCCCTTGTGTGGCGTGCTGCACGCCCGCTGCTAGTGGCGACAGAAAACGCCCCGCCACTGCCACAGCCTTACAGCTCCCTCTCGCCCCTCCCCGCCGCCCAAGCGCACCGGGAGTCGCGCAGTGCCCTTCTTCACCCAACCCGATCGGCAAAACCTTGGAGGAGCGAAGGGCATGGGTCGGTTTTGCGTGGCAATCCTGCTGCTGGCGATGGCCGCGGGCGGGAGCTGCGACCTGATGCGCGTACCGCTGAGGAAGCAGACGCTGGAGAAGAGCATGCTGGAGATCGACCGTGAGGGCCTGCGGCGGGCACAGCTGGAGGCGGCCCTGGGCGAGGAAGACGTGCCGCTGAGGAACTACGCCAACGCGCAGGTCGGGCGCCGGGGACCGCCCCCGGCACTCTCGTCAAGAGCTTGTCGCAGTGCACGGCACACCTTTAAAAACGAAAATCGCGATGTTGCTCCTGAGCGCATCGCCGGCGGCTTGCTGTTTTTCAATCTTCATCCGCGGGCCCTCTGTCGGGCCCAAGGGTGTCGGCCCGTCGACAGAAAGCGCCCGAGCGCGCTAGATGCCCGATGCCATCCGGCATCCCTTCCCGGATCTTTCATGCCCCCTCCCCTGGCGGCCTCCCCGTGCTGCGGCTCGCTCCCAGGCCCCAACCTTTGGGCCGCCGAGTGCGGCTCTGGCCGAGTCCTGGCGTCCATTAATAGCGCCTGGAGCTGACAGTTTTGATGCCGATGTGTGGCGCAGTATTATGGGGCCATCAAGCTTGGGTCGCCAGGTCAGGATTTCAACGTGGTGTTCGACACGGGCAGCTCCAACCTGTGGGTGCCCAGCGCCACGTGCAGCTGGACCGACCTGCCCTGCGTGCTGCACAAGAAGTACGACTCCACCAAGTCGTCGACCTACGTGGTGAGGGCGGTGGGGCGGCCGCGCGGCGCAGCCAGGAATCTGAGCTTGCCGATGCACGGCGCGCCCGGCGCAGTGCTGGGGCATCGGCTGCCAGGGATGAGCGATCGTGTTGGTGGTAGCTTGGTCGTTGCTGGTATGGGATCGAGGGTTGTGGATGCTTGTGGAAGTTCGTGGAGGGCGGGGGGGGGCGGGGGGGGGGGGGGAGGAGAGAGGAGGTGGAGGCAGTTTGCGTGGAATAGCGAAATTTTTCGAAGGTGAAGTGTAGGGTTCATCGTGGACGCCACGGAAGCTCAGAGTGTTGCGATCTTGAGATTGGTGAGAAGGAAAGCAAGGTATCTTGGCATCCTTGGGTGCATCGCAGGGAATGCGCATCGAACGCGGGACGACTTGTCTGCAAGGTCGTCTATCAGAGGGCGCCGAAATTTGGGCGTCTACATTCAGGAAATCGACTCAACTGCCGCAACTGCAACTGTGTCTGCAACCGTGGCGCATGGACAGAGCCATGTGCACTTGCCGTAGTTTTAAACTGCTGTGGCCATTTCAGGCTGTGTTCTAGACCCGCTTTTCCACATTGTGCCTGTGTGTGAATGCCACAAAAGGGGCTATGCTCTAATCCACATACAGCAGTCTGTGTTTCTACTTGTTGGATGCAGGCAACGTTGCCCTTTCTTGCATGATTGTTTCCTTGAGGACTTCGATGTGATGTCCTCAGCGAACAGAAGGGTCTCATATGTCACCATCAAGAGGCGAAGCCCGTATTAGGATCTTCACTGTCTTGCCTTTGTTAACTTTGGCTCCTTTCTGTGCTTTGCCCAGCCAAACGGCGAGAAGTTTGCCATCCAGTATGGGAGTGGGAGCCTGTCGGGCTATCTCAGCCAGGATGTCTTGGCGATCCCAGGCACACCCATGCCCATTGTGATCCAGGACCAGGTCTTCGCTGAGGCCACCAGCGAGCCTGGTGTGGCTTTCTTGCTTGGCAAGTTTGATGGAATCCTGGTAAGTTGCTGCTGCCCAGCCCGGTGCATCCTTGTGCCAGTGCTTTGGGTTGAACCACAAGCCCAAGAAGCATGCATTCTGCATACAGCTGGGAAATGTCCAGCAGAGCTTATTGATCTGCGACATCGAGTCCCGTTCCCATAACAATGGGCATATGACAGTGCAAAACCCATTCACCAGATTGCACATGTCTGTCATATGGTACGGCAGATGGTTTGCTAACCAGATATGCCCAATCGTGCGCTGACCAAAGGTGCAGAATCAGTCACCAGGTCCTGGGATGTTGCGCGTCAATAACTCTTTGGTATGACATGCGGAGAGCGATGTTGAGATCCTTTCTGGTGTACCCATTTGGTGCCCCTGCTTATTCAATGGCAGTGCTTGGTCATCTCCTGCCAAAGCAGTCGAAGGAATGATTTGCCACATCGTGCATATCCTTTTGTTGGGCATATCAGAGCCCTTGTGTGTTGTGGGGTATGCTGGGGAATAGCCAAAGTCTTGAGCCCAAAGTGTTGCCTTCGCAGGGTTTGGCATGGCCATCGATATCTGTGGATGCAGTGGACCCACCGTTCACGAAGATGGTCGAAGAGGGCCTTGTTGATGAACCCCTTTTCTCGTTCTGGATGAGCCGGGACCCCAGCGCAGATGAGGGTGGGGAGCTTGTCTTTGGTGGCATGGACCCCAAGCACTTCAAAGGAGAGCACACCTGGTATGTTTCGAAGGATCCATTGTTTCCTCTTTACCTTCCTTGCAAAAATGCATTCTTTGATTCATGCTTCTGGGCCTTGCTGCGCTTTGTGAATGCTGCACATTTTGCAAGACACACCAATTCACAAACCTATTTGTCAGCAATGTTTCTCGGTGTTTCCAATGTGCACAGGCTCCCTGTATCCAAGAAGAGTTACTGGGACTTTGAGATGGACAAGATCGAGGTGCCTGGCGTGAGCGTCTGCCCGGATGGCTGCATAGGGATAGCAGACACTGGGACGTCACTGCTGGTGGGGCCCACAGATGACATCCAGAAGATTAACGAGGCCATCGGTGCGAGCGGTGCTTCGAACTCAACGGCCTGCATGAGCAAGGGTGCCTTGCTGGTGAAACAAGTGGCAGAGCTTGTGAATGAGATGTCCAGCGATGAGGTGAGGACAAGCTGGATGAAGTCCTCGTCACGTGAAGAGTTCCATTTTGTTACGTTTGCCAAAATTAAGGACTGAAAGAAATTGTCCTACTGTCAAATACTTAAAAAGACAGTAATGGCACATTAGTTTTCTTTGCGTCTATTATGAGAACGTATGGCTCTCAGCACGTGTATGCCTTACCAGCCAGCACAATTGCCGTTGTGTACACACCAGAGAAAAAAGGAAAATTCTCTGCTCGGTCCAACTGAAAGAGTGTCATGGCAGTGCTTTATCATGTGTGGCAACAAATCAACTTTGGGGCAGGAGTCTGCTAGGAGTAGGACAAGAGAATAAGGCTACTTTTGTTAATCAAACATTGCACCCTAGTAAAGGCCAGATGCACGATTCCCAACAGGCGCAAGCAGTTGACCTGTTGGTTCATGTGTGGGACGTGTACCCTACGGTGCATGCAACCCGTATTTCTTGTATCTGTCAATACACTAAGAATACAACAGGATGTGCAAATTGTAGAATATGACAAAACCTGCCCCTCTCACAGGTCAGGCAATGTTGAGCACTGTTCTCATCAACAAATGTTGGTGAGCACTGAAGTGTTTGGACAATTGTACAGATCAGCGACAAGTCATCGGGAGTAGTGAAGTGAATGTTCAATCAATTGCACAAAGAAGCGAATGAAAGAATTGGCTGTTGCTCACATTTTTTATCATTTTTTATACCATTTTTTACCTTCAGTCCATGCTCACATAGAAATTTTTGAAGTCATTCATGCGAGTTGTGTCCTGTGTGGGTCATGGTCCAAATAGTGTCATCTGAACCAAGTTTTTGGTCTAACTCACAACAGAAAAGTGTTCAAACGTGATTTATGTACTAGATGGGATCTGTGTCTGATCACATGCTTGCCCTTACTTGTCACGCTGCTCAAATTGTTCACTCTGACTTCAGGTTTGCAGCAACATGGGCTTGTGTGGTTACGAAGAGCCACAGTATGCAACAACACGGAAGCTGGTGGGCAGCAGCTGGACATGCCAGCTCTGCCAGGAGATCGCCAAGGAAGCAAAGGCAAGCTGCCAACACTGAATATATTTCCCAAGTTGAGGGCCAGGTCCTGCAACCCAGCGCATCAACTGTGCCACTGTTTTATTGCATATGTGCTGGACCAACCGCGTTTAACAGGAAGTTAACTTTGTTGGCTGCTGTCTGTTTTGGCTGCTTTCGAGTGCGGCCATGGCAGCCCAGCCTCTCATGATTCTCACCTGGTCTCTACTTGACCGGGGCCTTGCTCACTGGATTGAGTGCTTTAAGAGCCTCTTGATCTTTAGATTCTGACTGCATTACCATCATCTGTGACATTCACATACAATCCTTCGGATGAATACTATGGATTGTAGCTGCATTTAGAATGCGAGAATGTGCCAGAGAATTGGTACATTGGAGTGCCATCGCTGTGATGTGATCAATTTGAACAAGAACGTGGCCCAGTCTAGTGGGCTTCTCACTCTTGTGGAGGATCTTTGAACCTACCTTTTACCACCTCTAGGGCAATGCATGGCACTGCATCCTTCGCTGGTGGTGTTGAGCACTGTGCACACTAATAACCATGGACTGATTCCAGCTGTTTCAGTTGTGAAAGATTCTGTACGGTAGACCTCTAATATTGACAGTGGAAATTCTTGCAACAGAACATTCAGGATGAGCAGACCATGAAGACTTTGGTGGAATCCCTTTGCGACGACTTGGCGGACGTTGAGGCAAAACAGTCGGTTGGTGTGGCAACCATCGACTGCTCTCTTGTCCCTCAGATGCCTGACATTGCATTTGTGTTGGGTGGGAAGAGGTTCACACTATCCTCCGAGCAGTATGTGCTCAAGGTGCGTACAATATGCTATGTGTCACAGGGATTTCATGAAGAAAGAGGGGATGGAGTAAATGTAGCCTTGATCTACTGTGAGTTTGTGCTGATGGCAGCTGCTACCATGTCGTGTTGCCTTGACAGATCGTGGTTGCGCATACCCTTGTGTACTTATATCCGATTTAGTGGCGTTTTCAAATTTAGCAACCGCAACCACAACCCTTAGATTGATAGAAAAGTACTTTGCATCAATTACCACGGCCAGTCATGGGGTTTGATTTTGAGCAGTGAATGCATTGGCTGCTTATCATTTAACAGGCCAAGATCTATAATAACTTAGGGCGAAGCACTCCATGGCTAACCAGGTGACGGCATTAAAGTAATCTCTGAAGACATTAAAAGCATTGCATGCAATGGTCATGCCACTGCAGAGCATGAATTCTTTGCCCCACTCCATGCTGCAGAAAGTGGACCAGCTTGAGTGCAACAGAGAAAGCAATGGGAGGTGCCCAAGACGGTTGTAAGAGATCAGTGCCTCACAGTTATCCTTATGCATCCAGAAGGTCACATGGAAGGCAGTTAGTTGACCTGTGCTGGAGCTGTCCTTGCAGGTGACACAATTCGGGCAGACAGAGTGCATCAGCGGCTTCCAGGGCCTTGACCTGCCTCAGCCAATGTGGATTCTTGGGGACGTTTTCATTGGAGGTAAAGGCACACCATGGCACACGACTGGAGGTTTTGCTGTTGAATACCCTTCCACGCGCCTTGGTGCTGTTTTCCTACAAAGACAACCGTGAAGATGCATATCAGCATTTAGCTGGCATTGCGGGATGTTTGGTGGACTGCCAACCATGGGGATTGGTCTCTAACGGCACAGCGCCATTTGTGGGTCAACTTGTCACAATAGCCGATGTTCGCCACGCATCAGAAATTGCCGTCCCCGTGTCTGCTTTGGTGCCGCTTCACGGCATTCAATGTGCTGTTTGAGTACTCTAATTAATTCGCCTGGCTGCCAAATGACGGTAAAGGAACCGTTTCAGTGTTTGTACACTCGTATTCTAAGCCTTAGGGGAAGGGCCTGCACAACTCATGTTCACACATCCCAAGTCTCTAATAGTGCGGGGAGTGAAAATTCATGCAGCAACGAGCATGAAAATATCTGCCTGTGTGTACTTTATAGTAAAGCTCAGCAGGCGCTGGGGTTCTCGCTCTTGAGTGCGTTTGGTTCTGAACATGGAATCTCAAGTGCTGTTACTCCTTTTCATTGGTGCAAATTCCAGCTCCCATCTCGGTTACCGTCATGAAACTTGTCTCGGTCGCCGCCAGTACACGACGAAACACTGCCCTGGCAACTTGTAGTAGATGCTGAGCACCTCAGCAGACGAGCGACTGGTCTGCATTGATGGCCTATGGGAAATGCTGCCATCTGATGGACTGGCCATTCTCAGATCTACGGGTGGCTGTGGGCTTCTTTTGCCACCTCCTTGCTGCGAGCTCGTGTAGTTACCTGCTGTACTGCGTGCCAGGTGTTTGAACTGATCGCTTTGCGCTGCATTATGGATATGGCTGGCTTAACCGCCTCCGAAAAAGCTATCAAAGATTGGTGCAACACAATGTCATCGCCTGTCAGCAGATGCGTTATCCCGCTGTCATCCTATACGTTGAAATGGCAAGTACTGTCATTTCTGGCTCATGCATTCGTTGAGCATACGTGGATTGCTTTTCTTCCATGTTGCCTTTGATTGGATTCTCACTATGTGACTGTTTGCCTTCAGCGTACCACACCGTCTTCGACTACGGCAATGCCAGGGTTGGTTTTGCTCAGTCCGTGTAGATGTCAATGGAAAGCGTGGCGGGTTAAAAAGCGGTAAGGCCAGGAGGGTCGCTCCTACACGACTATCGGGGCAATGCTTGAAGGGGCGCAAGCCGAGCGGAATTCTAGTGCATATGGTCAGCGCGTGCGGGCTGGTGTAGGCTGTTGTTGTACATCTGGGGAGTACTTTTCAAGGTTATGTATCATGCTCACATTGCTCTCTGTGGGTGGCTGTAGGGTGTGGTATTGTGGGAGGAACTTGGGGCGCGAGTGCAATGCGAATAAGAGTGGATTTTTCTTTGGAACGTCTGTGGTTCAAATCCGTTTTCTTTATGTCGAGAGAGTGGTTGTTAAAGTTGAATTGTCAATTGTATCCCTTTATCGCCGCTGTGTTATCCAGCTATGAGAGGCGTACGTTGTTAATGTTGACATCCTGGCGGCGGAGAACAGCGTTAGAGACCGCCGCGGTAACGGCCTCTGCCAACGAGGGCGACCAGCAGTTGTGGGGAAGGCCTGTGGAACGTGTGCTCAACTCCCCTCCCGATCTTATGGCAAGAATGAATGATAGTCATGGAGCCGCAATGGCAGAATCTCAACGATCTGTCGCTCTAGGCGTGGGGTTGCATTCTGCGGAACGCAATCGCACCAATCGGCCACAACAGAGCGAGGACAGGCTGTCTTGATCGTGGCCGCCACGTCACACCGCAGGGCGCGCGTCAAAATCCGTACGCAGCGCAAATCTGAGCCGCTCGCCACGACTTCGAAGGGGGCATTTGTTGGAAACCAAAAAAATGAAACATTTGAAACATTTGTTGGAAGCCAGTATTCGGAGTCCGAGTTTCGGAAGCATCACGCAGTTTCACGTCCACCTTCGATAAAATCGCCCCCGTTACATGTTTATGTCTATCGGATCTTCGGCATACAGCCGTCAGGCACCACCGTCACCATGATCATTCGTATTATTGGGAACCATCGTCCGAGAACTGGCGTTGCCTGTGACCACTCCTGTTGCTGTCAACCCCGCCCAGTCTTTTCACGAGTCCCCCCAGTCACTCCTCCGCTCCGCTTGCCTCAACCACCTCCACCCGCCTGGGTTTCGGGGCCTCCCGCTTGGGCACCGTCACCGTCAGAACGCCCCTCTCCAACCGGGCGCTCACGCCCTCCCTGTCGGCCACCTCCCCCAATCTGAACCGCCGCTCAAATCGACGGTGGCGTCTCTCCTGGCGAACCACGCGCCCCTCCTCGTCCTTGCCCTCCGTCGCCTCCTTTCTCTCACCCTTCACCACCAGCACGCCCTCCTTCACTTCAACCATTATGTCGCCGGGCTCCATGCCGGGCACGTCGGTGGTCAACTCGAAAGCGTCGTCCCTCTCAACCACGTCGGTGGGGAATGTTCGGGACCGCTCGCCGTTGTCGATAAAGCCGTCCCGCCAAAGAGAGGATCCCATCACGGGCGTCAAGCCCATCAGGCCGTCAAAGACATCGGGAAACGCAGCTCGGCACAGCGCCATGGGCACGAATGTCGCACGCTCAACAGACCCAAGGATCCCAACACCAACGGTTCAAGGTCTGTCCCCGGGGCTCCGCGGTAGATTGCACGCTGTCGAATGTCCACGAACTAGCTGGGGCGTCCGCCCTTGTCGCTCTCTCTCAGTCGCTTGCTGATCGGTTGCTGTGGCGTTGAGAAGCTTTGAGCTGCCACACCGCGGGAGCGGCCGTATTTGTGCACGACCGCGCACAGTTCTCGAACCCTGCCGTACATTCGCGACGGCCGTTTCCGGAATCTTCCCGCAATTTCTGCATCATACTCGAAGCCGCGGCGCAGCGCCACACCACTCACACCGCATGCACTGGACCCCCCCCAACCGCCATTTTCTCAGCCCAAAATGGCCACAAAGCCTATCGGGTTTGCCTAAATGGACGGCAGCAGCCTAGCTTCCGCCCCGCGGTGGGGCGGCATGGATAACAACGTTTTGTGTTGTCGACATACACACATGGACGCACGACACCTCGCTTCGAGGGGCGTGTTGGTGCCGCCCCAAGCTGCACTGCAATGCAGTGACTGCATCCATCCCAAGGGTGTCTCCATTGTGCGCGCCTCCGCGCCTGCTCCCACTGGTAGAAAATGCCATATTTGCGATGCTATTTTGACAGAAATTGATGCTATCACAGCGATTGCGATGGCATAAAAGTTGCTGTGATGGCATCAATTCCTGTCAAAAGGCAACGCCGTTGGCATCGCAAACAGTCTGTTTTCTACTGGTGTTTGCAGGTGCCCGTTCTTGTGTGCGCTCAAAGTGATGGCGGCACACCACCACCTGACATAATGGTAGAGGCCTGTTGGTGCCTTATACGCCCAAGGTCGTGACTATGCTCGCTTCACACACCTCAGAGCTAACAGCACAAACCCCAGAGTGCTGGAGTCCGAATTCATGAAGGGCAATGAGACAGGAAGAAATTAAAATGCAACGAAATGAAATGCACATGCACACATATCCATCGTGTATAGAGATAATAGGTGCAACACTGATCTACTTGATCCTTGTGCACTCCCAGGGTCAGAGCTTCGTTTTTCTTCTGTCTCTGGACATCGCTCCGCACTGTCAGCACTGTTTCCTTTTATTCCCTGCATCAGTCACCTTTCGCCAGGCATGCGCAGTATGAATGCGTGTCACTCATCACCAAATGAAAGCACTTGCCGGTAGGCAAAGCTCGAGAGCATTTGACCCCTTCGAAAACCAGTTTCAAGATAACAGTTTTGTTACGTGCTTACATGTACTCAACACAGGGCAGCTCCAATGGGAACCAAACAATCATGATGGCGTTTGCTGAAGAGTCAACGCTGTCCATCAATATGCATGCCAAGCCCTCGCGTAAGCAACGCCAGCGATCACGGATGTCCCCCCCAATCACTCTTCTTCCCGAATCGCCCCCACCACCTCCACCCGCTTGGGCATCGGTGCCTCGCGCTTGGGCACCGCCACCACCAGGATGCCCCTCTCCAACCGCGCTCTCACGCCCTCCCTGTCGGCCGTCTCCCCCTAGCCTGAAAAGCCTCTCGAACCGACGGTGGTGCCTCTCTTAGCGTATCACGCACCCTCCTCGTCCTTGCCTTTCGTTGCCTCTTTCCTCTCGCACTTCACCACCAGGACGCCCACCTTCACCTCCACGGTTATGTCGCCGGGCTCCATGCCGGGCGCGTCGGTAGTCAGCTCGAAGGCGCCGCCCCTCTCCAGCACGTCGGTTGGGGATGTTCGCGTCCTCTCGCCGTCAAGCAGGTTCCTCATCACGGGCGTCAAGCCCATCAAGTCTCTAAAGACATCTGGAAAAACTACTCGGCACAGCGCCATGGCCACGCATGAAAGTCGCCTACTCAACTGCCTCAGATGCTCAGATGGCCGTCAGGGTCGAACGACCACGAATACCACGATAGCTGTGGAGCTCGCAGTTGCTGCTCAAATTCATTCGCTTGCTTCTCGACTGCAGTGGCGGGGAGACACTTTGAACTTTCCGCGCTGTGGGCCGCTGCCTTTGACGACAGCATTCGACTGAAATCTCACCCTGCAGTGCTGGAAGCTGGATAAACGCTTACACCCACAAGACCGCGCCAAGGGCTCTTCCTAATTGCTATGTGTCTTCTTTCCCACGCTACCTCCGGCGTGTGCGCCACAGCACCAACCTCTCAAGGGTGTCTGCTGTTGTGCAGGCTTCGCACGTGGCTTCCCACGCCTTGTCGACCACTAACGGCATAAGCAAGGCAATACAGGCTACAGCTTTCCAAGATCATATTGCTCTCTCTCAGTGCCCCCACTCATCTGCCACCTAAGGAGCAGCTCTTGCGAACTGCCAAGCTAATACAGAACGCCTAATCCTCGCAGTCCACGTGCTTCCATTGGGGCCAAACTGTAAACGGTAGTGAGTTGCCCCGATGCTTCGATCTTGATAGCGTCAGGGGCTCGTGCACGAAGCTGTCTGCGAAGCTGTGTGTGATGAAGATCGCCTTTCGTCAGCCAGGGCCTTGTACACCTTTGGATCATACGCAAGGCCAAGCGCGACTGCAGGAAGCATGCCATTATAATATGACTACGCATAGCCTGGGTGCGCTGACCCAACTTCCTTGTGCGTTTTCTTGAGCGCACTTATGAGCTTCCTTATAAAAAGGGCGTAAATACGCGCATTTGCGTTACTACAATTATGATGCCATAAGTTCGTTTAACAAGCCTGATCCCATATGATGTCAAATATTGTGTCCACCTCTCAAAATATGATGAGATTTGTTCGCTGCAGTCAAGTCCACACGAGTGTCTAAGCTTCCCCATTGTCCCTCAACTATAGCAACCAAAAAATACCCAGAACCAATTTCAAATCTTCAACCTTGCGCAAGGCGACAGATCAGGGGCATCAAGGAGACTACGACGACGACATAAGAGTATGAACACCATAATTGTCGATAGTTATCCTCAATGCAAATAATTACACATTTTTCACAGCCTTCAACCATCCCCTACATGGAACAAGGCCCCTTGCTTCATACATGCTGTGCTCACGACCACAGCCCAGAAAATACACACATAGATTATGTTTGTATGGCTACAGGAGTGCCATAACGTGAGAAAATGATCGAGGCAGGTTTAACGTAATACCTGACCGCCGATTACCATCAAAAGGGGCGCCTCAAATCGTGTCAGGACTGTGTCATTTGGCCAGTTTTTTACTAGTGCGTGCCAGACGTGCAGCGACCTAACCAAGGAGACGCCCACGAGGGCCACGTCGGTGGCGGCAATCTCGGACGCGTTCATGAACGGGCTGAACAGCCCCGCCCGCTCCAACTCCACAGAATGCTTGAGCGTGAGCTGGGGATGGAGCAAGTACAGAAACTGCACGTGCCTGGGGTCTGAGGAGTTGCCCAGGGTGAGCCCCTACTGCCCATGGCGTACTGCGCGAGCAGGATGCCTATGCAGGTGCCGTTGTTGTCGCACCTGTTGCTTTCACTGTGTCGTTATTCTCGCGAGTGCCATGGGCTTAATCATGGTGGTGCCTTGCTGTGCTGTTATTGCAAGGGACTGTGGGGGCTTGCAGTGCCCGAAAACAGGCAAGCATTGCGCAATTCTGGAGTGCGCGGACGCTTTTCTTGGATAAGATCCCAGAAACGTAAAAACAGTACCGTGTATATAAGGACAGTGCATAAAGCCTTCGAGACTCCGGGGAATGACATTCAGACGCACTGTAATGGGCAGAAAACGAATTTAGTTCCACTCCATCGTGGCCCTTGCCGAGTGGGAAGCAGACGCTGTTTTGCGGGCGTTCAAGGGGGCGGATTACTGATCACTGTACGCAACTTTCACCGTGTAACCTGGGTGTCACAACGAGCCGTAAAAACGTAAAGACAGCTGCAAAAATAGCTTCTTTTGCAAGTTTGCCTTTTTCCGTGTAAAACGTAAACGTAAGAACGTAAACGTAAACGTAAACGTAAGAGCGTAAACGTAAACGTAAACAACAAGCCTGGTCACGTGAAATGTGTTCTTAGGAAGTAAGCCCGAGCGAGCCTGCGCTTCTCAGATTATCTGGCGATTCCAGCACCACCCCATACGGATCAGCGCCAGGGGTCCCCGCTAGCGTTATTGGGCGATCCGTGTCCTTGCAATTCCACACAGAGATTTTCCGTTCCGCCTCCATTCAAATCTGTCCTCAATTTCTTCCGCCATGGTCGCCATTCAAGTTCAAAAAAGACAAGCTCCTGGGATTTTCCATGCACTCCAGAGACAGTGAAATTTGTTGCTACGCTCGGCTCAGTATGCCGGATGCGACGGAGTACCATTTACTATGTATTACTAATTAATCCTATAATACAACCTATTATACAATAATCCTATATTACTAATATACTTCCTCCGTCCGGAATTATATGAAACAATTTGTTGACTGACCACATTTTTATCGTGTACTTTTTATTTTTCCTTCAAAATTGGACCACCGTATCTACTATGTGCTTAGACAATCTTATCAAAAATTTATCAACAGAAAATGAGATTCAGACATATGGTAGTACTTTGAAGCCAAGCGACTCAGCACCAGAATTTGAACATTCGCAGTCAGTCCCCACCCCACCAAAACCTAGCGCCCCGGACCCAGGAAAGCGCGGCGCACGAGTGATGCCCTTTCCAGTGGTCTTCAAAGTAACAGAAGGGTGGAGTTGCCTTGGTGCTCGGGCTCTAGCCCAAAGATCGACACCCTTCGCAACGCACAATCGACGGAATTGGCACCTATGTCTGCGTACCGCCATCAATGGATGCTCGACATCCCCCCAATCTTCCACAGCAGCACACCGACATTCCTGGGATACCCCACTGCCTAGAGGTCTCCTAGTGGCTAAAGACTAGCTGCAGGATATTTGCGCGCAACATAAGCCCTGTGTTTAGCACAGATCTCCGATTAAGTGCCTTCCAGATGCAAGCAACCCATCTTTCTAAACAGGTTTCAACTCTGCCAAACATAACAATGGAGGGTTTGG